ATGTGTTTCTTTAATTGTATTTGTGGTTTTTTCATGCTTTGTCATACTAGAATGCAGACGCGAGTTACTGTCTTTGATTATAAATAAGGGAGCTTTGAACTGGTTCATCCTTGTGATTTTATAAATTAAAACTTTGAGCCTCAAGAAGAGTATCAGGAAACTCCACCATCAGTAAAGACGTGGCAAATAGTCTCAGAGCGTTCCATACAGATGGATCCAATAACTCTTAAGAGATTTCAGTGACAGAAACTGGATGCCACATCACATTGCCCCAAGTGTGAGTAGTAGCTAAACCAATGTTAGAATTGAGATATCTTGTTTCTGTTGAGGTCAGGGGTGCTTTTCTTCTTCAAACAATAAGTTACTGTTTTTCCCTGAATATCTGGTAGGAAAGGTATTTTGAGCATCACTGGTTTTTTGTTCTAGACTTTAGGTTAAACATAAACAGACATCTTAAGAGACTGCTGATGTGAATGGTGGGTGGGATTTTTTTCATGGTTACACCCAGCAACACCAGGGTAAATCAATTTCAAAATTCATGTGAAACATAAAACAACACCGCTTAATTATTTCTTCCTAGGTAGGCTCTAACTTGGCAGGATCACAAAACCTACACTGCATGAAGTTTTCTGAGCACTTGAGCTTTGCAGAATTAGCCATAGCCATCAGCAGGTTCTTCTATCATGATGAGGGTTAGTATAACAATCAAAAAAGGCTGTTTTGACTCAAGTGTTTCCAGTTAGAGAGCAGATGTTGAATTTAATCATTTGGGCTTCAAAAGGATTTGCCAGAACAAGTACTGAGCTAAAACACAAAGTTTTTTCCCTAATTCTAAACCAGGTGATAACAAAATTGGGGCCTTGATCCATTTCCCCCACCTTCTGCCTTCTAACCAACATGCAGATTAGAGGCTGTGTCTAAGCAAGACACAATCCTGGTTGTTCATGGAGGGAGCAGAGCCTCTCTAGAACTGCTTACTTATGGTAAAATATATATATTATTATTATATATACTTATTATGCAATGTATATTACTTATTATACAAATTACAGTTCACACAAGCCTCTGTCTTTATTGACTGGTGAAGAGTCTCAAAGTGCATACATTCACACCTTAGGCCAAATGAGCAACTGTCAGAAGCTCTGGTAGTGCTTGTGAACTAATGTCTGGTCTCCTCTTGTGAAAAACACAGGTACACACCAGAAATGCATGAAGAGAGAAGAATGAGCTGAACATCAGGAAGAATTCTTGTACATTCTGGCAATAAGGAGCATAGATTTTCTTTTTCTTAACTAGACAATGGGCTCTGCAAATGTGCAGGAAAGTCTCTATCCCACAGACATCCCAACTTGACAGAAAATCCATGGATAAAAGAAGGAAATAGATACAAGGCCACACACAAAGCCTACATAGTGGTGACAAACATAGTGTTTTTGAGCCATACCTGAAGCTTGAGAAGGTAGGAAGCCAGAGCTAAAAAATAAGCTCGTGGCTGAAGGGAGAGACAGACAGAAGAACAAGAGGAGAGCAAGAAACAGAACAGACTGGCAGCGTAGAATCAAGATTTTTCCGTTTAGTAAGTAAATACGTATTTCCCCCACCCACATCTGGAATAATATGAATTCTGGATTCAGAACTGCATTCTTTACTTGCTTAAGACTCCTAGTAAAGTGTCTTTTGCTCAAGGAATGCAGCATCTAGTTAGTGTCTCAGCTGCATGACTTCTGCAAGTAGTTGGCCATATTCACTCGAACTTTTTAATTTCAGGCAGGGTCTTCTCTTACTTAAACACTTTCCATCCACTTTTCCCCTTCACATGCTTTCTAAAACCTCTTTTTCAGTCAGGAAAAAAGAACAGCTCTAGGAAACTGGACATTCCACATCAAACCTAATTTGACCTCTAGACCTAAAAAGTGAAGTGGTTTTAATAAAGTTAAAAAAAGTGAAATCTGCTTTTATTTCAGGGTACAGTCTCTCATATTGCAGTTGTGTGAAGGTTTCCTATCAAACTGAATGTTGCCTTCACCTTGCAGACTGGCATACTTAATGGTCTCTAGGACAGGCAACTTTTTGCTTAAACCCACATTACACTTGTCAAGAATCAGAGAAACAAGATTCTGTTTCAAGATTGTAAGAATCAAAATCACTTAGAGTTGTTTTCTATTCTATAGTTTTGTTTGGATGTATATAAATATTTATTAAAAGAAAGCTATCTACTCACATTACAAAATATGAACTACTAGAGATATTCCATTATATTATTTGTATTCTAATTAATTTACATTTTGGAAAATGTAGTGACATATATCACAGTCATGGAATTTGTGCTTCTGAGACAAAACTAAAGAATCTTTCAACCTGCCGATGGAGCAACATAGGGAAGACTGGTTTTGTTGACTAGAAAAGGATGATGTAACTGCTGCAGAATGGGGATTTACTTTGATGGTTCCTGGTGGATTTTTTGTGATGAAAAGTGAAAGGAAGATTAGGAAAAACATAGATTAGGAAAGCATATTCGACGTCTGCTGCTTGAAGTATTTAAGAGGAAATGTTAAAACTAGCCAGTGAGACAATTTGCAGGGCGAACGGATAAAGCAATAAATTAGCTTTAATAAATGCTGTGTTCAGGGACCAAAGACTGTAGGAGTTCAGGCTAGAGATTACACCTAACAATAACACCCAGTGAAGAGTCCAAGCTGGTAAAATATATCATGGATCACTAAATTAATGCAGATGTGCATCCAGCCATTTTTGCCAAAACCCATCAGGTCCTAGATGCAAGGTTTTAAAATTTTCTTTGTTGAATTTCATGTAGCAAGCATCTGCTGTTCTACTTTTCCAGCCTATTGAGGTCCCCCTAAATTCCAGACAATCTCTGTCATCATGCTATCCTGCACCTGCTTTCCCATTATCTACCACTACCTCTCTGTTGGCACACCAGCTTTTAGCTCTCCCAGTTCTCTTCCACCTTAAGTCTGATGGGACTGCTTCTCCATCCTTCAACAACCTAGTTTAAAGCCATCCTTATGAGGGTGGCAAGCCAGTTGGCAAAGACATTCCTGCCCCACTTTGTTAGATGAATCCTCTTTCCACCCAACAGATGTCATTCCTCAAAAGTCCTGTAAGAACCTGGAAGTGTCTGAAATATTACACTGACATTAACAGCATTTCTTTGTCTATGCTGATCTTAAGGCCATGTCCCTCACAACAGGGCACTATCCAAAGGTTCGCAAGTGAAGAACTGCTGCTCTTGGTAATCAAATTTTCAGCTGCTTTCCACTGTTCTGTTCCCTCTTCCTGAAATGTGAATGAACTGCCTGTGATCAACAGATCATGAAAACATCCATTTATATTATTTTTTCTTGACAGCTGTCAATCAAATGCAATTTATATTTATTAGCTACATCTGATAGTATCTTCATGCACTTCTTTTTATACCAGTCATTGTAGAGACTCCAGACTACTTGGTTTTCAACCTTTGCATTAAATTACCTTATCCTAGACACTCCTCAACCTCTTATTTTCCATTACCTGTAGTACTGCAGCTCAAAATTTTCTTTGTTTCTCTGGAAAATCTGTTATTACTATCAGGTCATGGTCTGTTATTCTTCACTTGTCAGAAAACAAGATACTGCATCAGCAGCAACAATAACGATGACTTCTTTTGTATCAATTATGTCCTCCCTTCTTATCAGAACAACCCATGCTTCCCCTACAGCTTCCATGCCCTCTCCTTACATTACCTTCAACTCCCTCCCATATCCTACACAGTATTCTAAAGTCTCCTCTAGGCTCCCTGTAATACATCCCGTTCCTGCCTTTTTACTACCTAACTCCCCTCAGTGAGTCATGTCCCAAATACTCATAGCTCATAGCTCCTCCGTATCTCTTGCTTGACTAAGACATGTATTGATAATATGTGCCGTGACAGATAGCGTAATGAGCTGGCCAACACTTGTGGATAGCCACTCTTGGAGAAACAGACACACAGCATTGTTTCTTCTTTCCCTCATTTGGGAGCTAAATGGGTCTTTCTTTTCTCCCAAATTACCCACTTTTAGGCAAAGTGCGGGAATATCATACTCTGAATCCTCTAACACTCTATAGAATTTGCCTGAAATTAGTGGGTGGATTAAGAGAAGGAAAGGTAGGTGAGAGGCTAAGAGGCACTGGCAGTGCAGTTGGGTAAGCAAATACAACCACAGAGCTGGCCCTGCTTCCTCTTTCTGCTAGAGTCACACAGCTGTCATAATGTGATTTTTTTTTTCCTTTGAAGGGACAACTGTACTGCTGAGAGGTTAATCAGAAACTTTCTTTAATAAAGGCAAGGCCACAGAAAATTGATAAAGCGCTGGCTTTAGCCCAAACGTAAGCAGAAATGAAATGCAGTTTCTGCCAGGCACCAGGTCAGTGACCTCTGTGAAAGTTGTGCAGTATTTGGGCAGGCAGAAAAATCACAGCTTGTTACTTCATCTTTCTAGTCCTCAAACATTTCCCTCTAACACCACTTCTGTGGCTTGTAGGGACAATTAATGGAAACTGCTACCACCTCCAGATAATGTACTTTTCATTTCTCACTTCTTCTCATCCTGAAGGTAGTATATTCAGGCAAGTCATGCGACTGAAGAATACATCTACAAGCATAAATTTAATGCTAGGCTAGTGGGTGCTGGTTACAGACAATTTTAGCTCCATAAAAATGCACAGCATATTCATTTGTTAAGAGCACTATTAAATGCTATCATAATATAAACATTGCATTGGACTTCCCTGACAATTTTATAAACTGAAGTGTTTAAAGTTTTCTCACTGAAGATTTCTGCAAAAAAAATAATGAATTGTTTTGGAGCAGTTTCAGATACAAATTGCTTTTTAAATTCGTATTTATACAAAGACACTTAATTCCAAAAATATTTTTCTTCCAGTATTAAATCTGTAACTCTCTAGAATCAAAGTTTTATAGAAGTACTGTACTTGATAATGGAAAAAGGCTAGGAAGATGTGACCACTTATGCATTTAATCTCCTAATGATAGCTGATATTCAAATGAAATGTGAATAAAAACTGACAGCAGCCTCATCCGAAAGTTTCTCTTGGATCTCAGGACATCTGCACCACATCCAACCTTTGGCCTCTGCAGACCTATGCAAATCAAATAAAGATTCTATGTGAATAGCAAACACAGCTCAAAATGAATCAGAATAATGGTAAAAGGAGGAGCCAAATACAGGAACTGCCCTCATTTTTCACTGTTCTTTCAACCAGCTTCTAACCTCCAGTAGCCATGCTGTTTCCACCAACCATCCTATTTTATTTCTTTGCTTTTGTGACCTATGGAGAACCAGACATAAGCATATTTTGCCTCAAACACTGTGACTATTACAATGGGAAAGGTGTGATCTAAAGATGTAGAGGTGAGGCAGCACTGTTCTGACCCAACTTCCTGCTCTACCTTGACACTTGTGCTCAGTGTCCCCATCCCCACTCACCTCCTGTGGGAGGGGTCCAAGGGCTGGCTATGCACATGTGAATAAAATAGCAAAAAATATCTGGCTCACCTAAGAGGTTTGCACCATGTTATCTATAAGAGAGCAGGTCAGGCCCTCTCACACTCTTTTCCCTCTCTTTCACTTTCTTTCTCACAACCCCAGCTGCAGACAAAACATCAGGACCCGTGGTGGTGTGTTTTTATTGTTAGCTGTTTAACTGATGTTAATCACTTGTACCAATAGTCAACACCAAATTCCTTTCCCCTGAAATAGAATGGTTTCTCCCTAAGTTCTCCCCACCCTTCTCCTGTGTCAATCATCATGGTATCCTTCCCCTTGTTCCAGAATGGTCTATGTCAGTTTCTCCAAACACCAATGGTATTAAAGTTCCCCTTTGTCCATTATTGTAAACCCTGCCCTTTGTTCTAGACCCTTCCCTGTCAATCCCTTAACCCTCAAGGTCCCATTGGCCTATGTGACCAATCCTCTTCACCCCCTCATCCCTGTTAGTCCCTGCATTGTAATGCCCTCCCCTTGCTCCTCCTGCCTGAATTCCCCATTGGCTGTTTGTTTGTACCATCCCATTGAGTTGCTGCCGTATAAAATTCCAAGCACAGTGATGCTCAGGGCTCTTTGGTCCCTGACCCCCTTGGGGAGTAGAGTTCTCTGGGACTCTTCCCAAAGGTTCCTCTCCATCCTTTATCCCTGTCCTTGGCACTTTCACTGACATCAAAAGCCATAGAGCACTGTGACCCATGTGTAACTCACCAACCATACCCCTGATTGTGTGGATTTCTGGGGATAGCCCACGCACCTGCTGTTGTGCCAGGGGCTAACCTGGGCTGGTCGACCTCAGGCACAGCAACAAGGACCAATGCAGGATCTGAGGATTGGTGACAATTATTTGTACTCTCTCCCTTTTCTTTCTTTCTTTCTGTTCCATCTTGCTTTCCCTGGACAATACAAAGTTGTCATAGTCTACCTCCCATATTGAATTTCACTGTGGGTGTAGGGAGCTTGTGGAAGTGTGTTGTGGCTTCTGGGCCAGCACCTTTGAGTAGTTCATTTTACAAGCTGAGACTGTAATGAAGAGTATGGAATAGAATTAAGGAATTGTTAGCCATGACGTTTGTGGAAATGTATTGTAAGAACTTAAGGGCTTGTTAGCAACTTGAGGCTCAGCAGTGGGCTTGCCTAAGTTAAAAACGCAAGAGTTCAGTTTGATGAGAATTTACAAGTAACCTCACCCCTCTACTGATGAGTCATGACACCATCCCTGCTGTATTTAAAAATGAAAGTAAGAATCTTTATGTGCATATACACCACCTGCTCCCTCAGGTCTGGTTTACGTGGGTAAGCCAATCGGTATTGGCGTTTAGCTTGGCTTCTCCCACAAAATGTCATGACAGGATTTGGCTTCCAAGAGGCACCAAGTCCTTATTTAAGCAGGAAAAGACCATCTTCCTTCCCTCAGACAAGCGGCTTTTCCCATACACTGCCCTATTTGTTTCTCCACTGGTTCCAGACACCCTTACAATCCTGTGTGCATACCTTTACATCTTTCTCTGCCAGTCAGTTTTTAAGCTCTATTCGGTAACTTCAGGGAGACTCAAAATTTCTATTATTTATGTAATTCATCACCCTTGAGGCCATTCCCAACACGAGACTGTACAGCCAGAGGAGAGCCCTCAGTGCCAGCGGTCAGAGTGTCCGGGGCTCCGTAAAGCAGCGCACATTCAGATCAAGACTGACTCTTCTCTCCTAGACCGCTGCTAAATTACTGTTAATTGTCGCTTTGCCGCCCTATGCTACAGCCGGTTATTTTGAGGGACGCCACTCCCGCTGCCTGCAGCCCGCCATGGGGGCGAGCGCTGGGCAGACGTTTCTCGTTAAGATACCGAGCGCAAGCTGCGCCGGCACCGCGGATCTCCGGTTCCAGGCCGCGCCTCTCGCTGCGAGGGGCGGTCCCGCCGCACGCCGGGGCAGCTGAGGGGCAGGGCCGTGCGGCCGCCCATCCCCGCCGCGGAGCGTGCCGGGAGCTGTAGTTTCACGGCCGCACGGCCCCGTTT